TGGGCTTTTTCTCTCTTTTTCTTGGTCAGTTTAGCTAGGGGACCATCGATCTTGTTAACCCTTTAAAAGAAGTAGCTTTTTGTTTCATTGATTTTTTTGTATTATCTTTTTGTCTTCTATGTCCTGGATTTGGGCTTTTATTTTGGTGATCTGGATTCCTCTGCTGCAGTTAGGGTTTTTGTGGTCTTGCTTTTCCAGCTTCCTAAGGTGATTTGTTAGGCTGTTAATTTGTGATCCTTCCATTTTCTTCTTGTGCGTTTGTAGAGATATGAATTCCCCTCTTACTACAGCTTTCATGGTGTCCCAGAGATTTTGGTAAGATGTTTCTTCATTTTCATTTGTTTCCAGGTATCTTAATCTCTGTTTTGATTTCATCATTGACCCAGGAGTTGTTTAGCATCATGCTATTAAGTGTTCATGTCTTTGTGGGTTTGATGTTTATTTTAATTCCACTGTGGTCCAAGAAGGTGCATGACAATATTTTCATCTTTTGAAATTTGTTTATGCTTGATTTATTGCCAAGTATTTGGTCAATTTTAGAGTACCTTCCATGCAGTGATGAGTAGAACATATATTCTGTAGTTGTTGAGTGGAGTGTTCTGTAGGTATCAATTAAGTCCATTTGGTCAAGAGTCACATTGAGGTTCCGGATCTCGTTGCTGATTTTTTGTCCTGATGATCTGTCTAGGGTTGTGAGTGGGGTATTAAAGTCCCCAGTTATGATGGTGTTAGAGTCAATATCTTTCTTTAGTTTTCCTAGAAGCTGCTCTATGAAAGTTGGTGCCCCTATGTTGGGTGCATATATGTTTAGGATGGATATTTCTTGTTGATGGAGTGACCCTTTTTTTTTTCTTTTTTGAGTTGAAGTCTCACTCTGTCGCCCAGACTGGAGTGCAGTGGCATGCTCCTGGCCACCGCAGCTTCGACTTGCTGGGCTCCGGCAATCCTTCCACCTCAGCCTTCCAAGTAGCTGGAACTACAGGTGCGTGCTACCACGCCCAGCTAATTTTTTTTTTTTGATTTATTGTAGAGATGAGGTCTCACCAAGTTGCCCAGGCAGGTCTCGAACCCGCGGGCTTAGGCAATCCACTCACCTCAGCCTCCCGAGTTGCGGGATTACAGGCTGAGCTACTCAGCCCGGCCTGGAGTGAATCTCTTATCATTATGTAGTGGCGTTCTGTATCTTTTAAAATTTTTGATAGCTGAAATGGTATTTTGTCTGAAATTAGGATCTCGACTCCTCCTTTCTTTTGTGTTCCCTTCGCCTGAAAATTTGTTTTCCATCCTCTTACTTTGAGTCTGGAAGTGTCCTTTCTAGCGAGACGGGTCTCTTGAAGGCAATATATTGTTGCCTGGTGATATTTTATCCATTTTGCATTCTATGTCTTTTCAGTGGTGCATTTAGTCCATTCACATTTGGGCTAATTATTGAATTGTGATAATTGATCCCTGTCATAAGGTTCTTATTGAGGTGTTGTTGTTGTTCCTCTTTGTTGTCTTTATTTTGGTTTTGTACTCTTGTGAAGAGCATTGTTGTTCTTTTTTCCTTTTCTTCTGTGTTTACTATTTTCTAAGTGTTTCTTGTAGAGGTGGTTTGATGGCAGCATAAGTGCTTAGGGATTGGATATCTGGGAAAGATTTTAATTCTCCCTCACTGATGAAGCTGGGCTTGGCTGGGTAGGTTATTCTTGGTTGAAATTGTTTACCTTTTAGAACTTTGAAGATAGGGCTCCAAGCTCTCCTAGCCTGCAGGGTTTCTGTAGATAAATCTGCTGCTATTCTAATTGGTCTTCATTGGTAGGTGACTAGCCTTTTTCTCTTGCTGCCTTTAGGATTTTTTCTTTTATACATAATTTGTTTAGGCAAATTATTATGTGTCTGGGAGTTGCTCTTCTCATTTGTTGTCTTGCAGGGCTTCCCTGAATTTCTTGTGTTTGAATTTTCGCATCACTGGTGAGAGTAGGGAAGTTTTCTTCAATAATCTCATGAAATGTTTGTTCCAGGGTGACCTGTCTCTCTTTCTTTTTCAGGAAGTCCAGTTAGTCTTAGGTTTGGTCTCTTGAAGTAATTGCTCATCTCTTGAAGGTTTTGTTCTGTCTTTTTAAGCTTCTTTTCCATGTTTTTGACAGTTTGGGTTAGTTCTATATTTTGGTCCTCAAGCTCTGTGATTCTTTCTTCTGCTTGGCTAATTCTGCTTTCCATGCTTATCATTTTGTTATTTATTTCATTCACAGTATTTTTTACTACTGTTATCTCAGTTATCAACTCCTTTTTAGTTTCTTGTCTCTCCTCAATTCTTTTTAATCTCTCCATTAATGTCTTGATGTCTAGGTTTGTAGTTTGAGACCAGTCATTCTGGGGGCTCTTCATTGTTTGCATTCCGAAGTCAGTGTTCTCAATATCTGCCTTCCCAGGGGTCTGGGAGAGACCCATGTTCTTCTTTTGGTTTTTCTTCATTTGTATAGATTTGTTCTCTCTCCCCTCCTCTCCCCTTCTTTAATTCTGTTTTTCAGGGAAGGTGGGATTGCTTTTACTTCTTTTGTTCAATCTCCCGTTCTTCTTTATGAGGGTCCTCTGGCTTTGTTCACTTTTGAGGCTTGACTGTGGTTTGGGGGCTGTACTTTTTGCAGTTTTGAGGTTTAACTGAGGGGGAAGCTGCGATTCAGAATCTATCTGCACATCTCAGTATCTACCAACAGGTGTATGGGCACACTGGAACCCATTTCCCACTGCCTTACAATCTGTCCGTGCAGCAGGGTTTATGTTTGCTCCCTGGAACAAAATGAAGTACAAAAAAGGAAAATAATGGAAGAATGGGGGGGTCAGGAGGAAGTTAGAGAGAGAGTGATAGGTAAAACAGACATACATACCAACTAACGAGTGAAAAAGAGACACAAGACCAGAAAAGAGTGCGAAAATTACACACAAACAAAATTCCCTAAAGCATACCCGTAATCACATAAAGACAGTCCAGTAAAATCAAGCCTTTTGATGCGTTTTTCCCCAACACAAACAGGTAGTCTGAATCAAAAGGCAAACAAAAGTGAGCAAAGCAAACAGCCAAACCAATAAATTCAGAAATCAAAATAAGAAACCAGACTGGCTCTGCAATCTTTTCTGAGTGTCTAAAGCCTCTTCAGCTCTGATCCCTAGCCTCTCCCCTTTACTTTCAGTGCAGGCAGATAGATTTATTCCAAGTTTGGGTTGGTTCCCTTGGCTTGCTGCCTGAGAGGTCTGCGTATGGCCTGAGTTGCCTGTATCTGATTCAGTGTGGGGGGGGGTAGCTTTTGTCTCCTGTTTAGCGACGTTACCTTAGAAACCAAGGTGGAGGCTGCTTGTAGATGGGTGGGGCAATGCAAATCTCTGCCTGGAAAATGACTGTGGTAGACAGCTCCTCTTTCAAGGATCCTTTTCTCTCCATCCATCCTTTCTTTCCACCAGCCCAGGTCCCTGGGCTATCCACTGTGACCGACTGTGGGATCAGCGATATAGCTAGTCGTTGGATCTGGTGTGCCGCCAGTGGCCTGGGTTGGAGTAGGGAGCTGAGAATTCCCTCTTCTGGAGCTGAGTGCTGACAGCAGCTCATTAGCACCTCCTTAAAATATACTGTTCCTTTACACAACCACGGGGTCCCACGCTGGGTGCCTCAGTGAGAGCGGGGACCGGAGCTCCAAAGGGTAGGTAGTAAGTGGTGACAGCAGCTTTGTGCCCCGCCTAGGGCACTTCAGCTAGGAATGGAGCTGGTATCTCTGAGGGGCAGGTGCCTAGAGCCTCCCTGGGTAATGGTGGCTTGAAAGAGGGCTGGGTGGGGACCCAGAACTCAGGGCAGGGAGCAAGCACTGGGCCTGCTGGATTGGGTGCCCAGTCAGGGTGAGAGCTGGCTGTGTCTGAGTGCTGGGTGGATCAGTATAGCCAACAAGAGCACCCAGATCTCCACAAGACGGTATCCAAGGGCTGCCAGGTGAGATGTTGTAGCCAGGGCGGGAGCTGGGATCTTCACACGGCCAGGCTGGGGCCGCCTGTATTGGAGCAGTAGCAGCCAAGAGGCCTCAATAGATGGCCTTGCATGGGTCCGAGGGTCTCCAGACTTTGGACCGGTGGCGGCTGGCCGTGGGCAGGGGGGTGGGCCGTGGGCAGGGGGGTGGGGTGAGTTTTGGGAACTCACTTTCAGAGAATCTCAGGGTCCCACCGATGCCATCGCCATCTTAGAGAATTTTCTGGGAATCTTAAACTAAAGGAAATTGACAGGATTAGAACACCTGAGAAGAGTTTTTACCTGTAATTATTGCAAAATACTTCAAACCTCTGGAACTAAGTTTAAAGTATTAGTCGCCTGCAGAGGTCTTATCTGGGAAGTCTAAGGAGACCATTGCACCAAGAAGTTATAGGACATTGAAGTAAGGAATGAATGGCTAACTGATATCTGAATTACGAGTTCCTGGGAGTTGGGGTATGCCAGCTTCCCAGCATGTAAATACATTTACCAACCTGGCAGCCCTCAGAGCCCCATCGTTTAGAATTCTTTAGGGAAGTTCTATTATAAAAGTCAAGACTGATTAAATTATTGACCATTGGTGATGAGTTCAATCTTTAGCCCTTCCCTTTCCCCTGAGGACAGGAGGAGGGCCTCTAATCACATGATTGCTTCCTCTGGCAACCAGTCCCCTTCCTATCTAGGAGCTCACCAAGAGTTGTATCATCAGTGTAAACTCTGGTATATTTTAAAAGGGCTTATTATAAATAACAAAAGATGCTCATCCCACTCCCCTATTCAGGAAATTCCAAGGCTTTTGAAGCTTTGTGCCAGGAACTGGATCAAAAACCAAATTTGTATTTTTATTATATCACAAAATCACTTTTCTAATCTTGTAACTGTTTTGTTATTCCTTAATTATTGCTGGGTCTTTTTGTTTGTTTTTAAAACCTTTGTTATGGAATGCAAGAAGACATAATTGGGGTTCTGTTTAATCATATAAGTTAATTTGTGTTTTTGTGAACAGGAAACCTTCAAAAGATCCTGTCCCATGATCATCCTCCAGAATATTCAGCTGATTTCTATGCTGCCTACATTAACATTCTTCTTGGAGTTTTCTATACTGTTTGTCGGGATTTAAAAGAACTCAGATATCTGGTGAGTGAGTGTTGTTCTTTAAGTATATTTATGTATATATTTCAATATTTATGTTATATTTACCAAATATTTTTATGTTTACTATTTTTCCATGTAGAAATGGTGTGAGATGGGCTAGAAGCTGAAATTTTATTCTGGAAATTTGGGCATGGCCTTTTGAGGTTAGCATACATAGGAGTGTAGATATCTTGGGTTAGTATAAACTTTGATCTGATCAGAACACTTTGATTCATCTTTAGTCATGTCTTCACTCTTAGGAGTGTCTATTTTTTTTTCCTTTTTTCTCTTTTCTCTAATTGCAATAAATGTAGGACTCCATTAAATCAAAATGAAGAATTATAGAAAGAAAATGTAAAAACTGAAGTAATTTTCTTTGTTTATATTTTGTAACAAATTTCTTTCAGGTTTCTTGTATGTAGCGATCGTGGTCTTAGAATCAAAATAGATTTGAGTATGGTCAGCTTTAATTACAGGTCTTTCACTAGCCACTGACCTTTAGTGTTCTTTAAAAAATTTTTTTTTAAAGATTAGCATAGCTGTTTGTAGTCCATAGAGAGTTTGACAAATGATCATGTTTAATTTTTCTTTGATCTTTTTTCTTTAATTGTGGAATGGGAAGGGAAGGAGACAAGAATGTCTGGTTTCCCTTTTAGAAATCCTTAGTTAATAATTAAGATCTCATCTCCATATGGCAAAAAGTGTTAATATATCTGAGTATGGAAAACAGTTACTTTGAAAGTAACAGATTCTGTGTCTTTTAGCACTTTTTTTTTTTTGCTTTGCCCCTTTTTCTTTGTTCTGAAAAGTATTACTTGGAGAGATTTGATATGTGTTTGAGACAGAACATAGAAGATGACCATGTAAAATTGTGTTCACGTTTATTGTGTTTTTGAAAGTTTTAGATTTCAGGGTTCTTCTGGTATACATGTAGATTTTAAGTATCTTCTCAGTTGGGATAAAACAAAAAAAGTTTTTCCAGTTCAGGTTCATTACTAACATTCTCCCAGAAGTTGAATGTCTTGGAATCCAGTGTAATCTCTGACTACTTCAAGCAGTATCATGATGTTATCAAATCTCAAATTCTTTAATGGATTTTTTTAAAACAATTTTTTGTTTTGAGGAAGAAGAGATTGTCACAGTTCCAAAATGGATGTAAATCTGACCTCTAGTTATCAGTATGCTGATAAATAAAATTTATGCTAATGTGTTTCTATACATACTGGTTATTTTATCATATTGTTGTATGATAGGGAAACATGATTCCAGAGAACTGAAATGAATAAGATTATAAAATTTTTTGTAGAAAGAATTATATTTGACTCAGGAGCATGTGCTCATAAACACTATATACTGTATACTATCTCTTTAAAAATAGCCAGCCTTTATTGAATACTTACTGTGTACTGGATATTGTTCTAAGACCTTTGCAATATTAACTCAGTTAATTCTTACAGCAACCCTATGAAGGAAGGTAATATAAATACTCATTTTACAGATGAAGAAACATGAGTTCTCTAATTTACCAGCTGGTGATCCTGGGAAAGTTACTTAACCTTTTGAACTTGAATTTTCTCATCTGTTAAGTAGGTGTTTAATACCTACCTCAAAGGAATTTTGTGAAGTTAAAAAGAGGGAACACACATAAAATGCATGATCCCTGTTGTGGATCAGTTAATTTTAGTTCCCTTCCTTCTTCTGCTGAACAAGGTTCATGGGCTTAAAAATATGTATTAAGATCTTACTATCTCCAGGAACATAAACCAGAGCCCAATTATGGGGACTCCTGATATTACTGCAGTTTCCTATCATATGTTAAAGTCATATATTAAAGAAATGTGAGGTTTGAGGGGTGATCTGGCAGAAAATTTGTTATTCCATTGGTTTCCAGATTTGATTAGACATAGTGGGGTGAGTGGATGACCTTCACAACTCTTATTTATACTTTATTGCTTTATGGATGAGGATGTCTTTGTCATGTAGAGAAGAGCTACTGTTTGATTAACAGTAGTTTAAAAGGAGACAGAGTCTTTAATTAAGAGAAATAATCTAGTTAGATTTGGTTTACTTGTCTTTTTTTCTTAACTTTTTGTTTAAAGTATAATATACATATAGAAAAGCACACAGACCATAAATGTATTTCTCATTAAATTGTCATAAAATGAAAACATATATATAAAAATAATCCAGGTAAAAAAGTACAATAATCCAGGAGCCCACTTTGTTCTTTCTCTTAATCTCTGCTTCTTTTCTTCCTAGAGGTAATCACTGACTTCTAACATCAGATTAGTTTCTCTTGTTTTTGAACTTTATATAAATGGAAACATACAGTGTGTATTCTTTTTTTTATCTGCCTACTCTTGCTCAGCATTTTATTTGAGATAGTCATTCATGTTAAATGTAGCTGTGGCATGTTCTGAGAAGTCAGGTAGTCTTTTGACATGGAATAATTAGTAAGAAGGGGTATTTAAGTCAGACTTCTCAGTTAGACCTTTACAGGGTGCCCTTATGACCTTGACTAGTTAAGAATTCTTTTTGTATCACAACTATATTCAGTGGTACTGATGTGCTAATAGCTTGCTGTAATTATTTTATTATAGTATTTACAAGATAATGAAAGTATTGAATAATTTTAAAATTTATTTAAAAATTTTAGAAGCAATTTCTAAATTTTCTAAATTCTAAAAAAATTTAGAAGCAGAAAAATGGCAAATACAGTGAAAAAATAGCTTTCTTTTTTTCTCAAACCATTTGAGAATAAGCTTGTGACCTGATACTGTATTACCCCTGAATTCTTGTGTACATTTCTTACAAAGACATTTTCCTACATAACCACAGTACAACAGTCAGAATCAGAAAATTGGTTCATTACTACAGTCTGATCCTCAGACTAAAGATTTGTTCGTTGTCTCAATAATATCTTTCAGAGCAAAAAAAAAATCCAGTTAAAAGTCACATTATTGCATTGAGTTATGTCTCTTGAAATTCTTTTCCTCAGTTGTTGACTTTCATGACCTTGAGACCTTTGAAAATTACAAACCAGTTATTTTGTAAAATCTTCCTCAATTTGCATATGTTTACTGTTTCCTTTGATTAGATTCAGGCTATGCATCTGACTAGAATACCACAGAAATGTACTGTGTTCTCATTGCATCCTATCAGGTGGCACAACATTTCAATTTATCCCATTATTGATAATGTTTAGTTTGATAATGGATCAAAGTATCTTTTTTCCTTTGTAATTAATATATATTTGGTGAGCCGGGCTCGGTGGCTCAGCCTGTAATCCTGCACCTTGGGAGACTGAGGTGAGTGGATTGCCTGAGCCCACGGGTTCGAGACCCGCTTGGGCAACTTGGTGAGACCTCATCTCTACAATAAATCAAAAAATTAGCCAGACGTGGTAGCGTATGTCTGTAGTTTCAGCTACTTGGAAGGCTGAGGTGGAAGGATCACCAGAGCCTAGCAGGTCGAGGCTGCGGTGACTGGGAGCAGCCACTGCACTCTAGTCTGGGCGACAAAGTGAGACTCCAACTCAAAAAAAAATATATATATATATATATTTGGTGGAGAAGTACTTTGAAACTTTGTAAATATCTCCTTTATCAGAATTCCAACTTATTTTTTCATCAGTCTGGCTTCAGGACATTTACCTATTTTAAGATAAGGTGATTACTAGGACAGATTGCACCTAATCTCATGATCCCTTTCAAAGTGGAGTTTTCTCTGGCTGATCACAGAAAATATGAAGCATAACTTAACTCATTTGTAAAATGGAAATAATAGTAATGTCTTCCTCATAGGATCCTTTGGAGCAGCAGTCCCCAACATTTTTGGCATCAGGGACTAGTTTCGTGGAAGATTTTGTGGGGGGGACTGGGAACATCAGACATTAGATTCTCGTAAGGAGCTCTAAGGAGTGCTCAGCTTAGATCCCTCACATGGCTATTTACAATAGGGTCCGTGTTCCTAAGATAATCTAATGCCACCGCTGATCTGACAGGAGGCAGAACTCCACACATCTGCTACTTACCTCTTGCTGTGTAACTGGTTCCTTACAGGCCACAGATCATTACTGGTCCACCACCCAGGGGTTGGAGACCCCTGCTTTGGAGGATTAAATGAGTCAGTGTTCGTAAGCACTGTAGATTGTAAGATCTGGCACATAGGAAGGCCTCATTGCTTGATGAAAATTCCTATAACTAAGATTAATGTAAAAGTTCTTAGCTGTGATTTTTGTTCTTCCATGTTTAGAAAATAGAATGTAGATATTGTAAAAAGGTAAAACAATTCAGAAATTATGTCTTCTTGGCTCTGGGATATGTTTTTATATATATATTTCAATACATATTAGTTTTCTCTTGCTACATAAGAAATTACCACAAATTTAGCAGCTTAAAACAATACACATGTATTAGCTCACGGTTCTGTAGATCAAAAATCCAGGCACTGTGTTGTTGGGTTCCCTGCTAAAAATTATGGCAAGACTGAAATCAAAATTTTGAGTGAATTTTCATCTTGAGGCTCTGGAGAAAAATCAGCTTCCAGGCCTTTTCCAATTGTTGGCAGAATTCTGTTCCTTTTGGTTGTAGGGATGAAGTCCTGTGGCCGTGGCCACTGTCAGCTGAGTATCTTGTTCACACCTTCTAGAGGCTTCCACATTCTTTGCCACATGTCCCTCTCTACCTGCAAACCAGCAGTGGCGTGTCATAGTTTCTGATACACTAAATTGTTGACATTTGTTGCTGTTTGTCACCAGCCAAAGAAAACTTTCTGCTTTTAAAGGATTCATATGATTAGATCAGACTGACCTGATAATCTATTTTAACTCTTCCATAGATATCATAATCTTTAACCTTAACTGCATCTATAAAAATACCCTCACAGCAATACTTAAATTAGTGTTTATTTGAATAACTGGGAAAAGTTTGTATACATAGGAGAGAAAGTCTTGAGGACTGTCTTAGAATATTGCTTACTATAGTATACATGAACCAGATTATATCCTGACAAATAATGCCAAATAATAATGAAGGCTTGCTGAAAATCTCACTGAGAAAGAGTCGGAAAACTTTCTAATTTGCTTGTTTTATCTTTTGCAACCTGTTTGATATTCATAATAGATTGTTTTGTCTCTTAAAGTAATGCAAGTTTTTCTCTGCAAAATAAGTGAGATATTCTCTCTGTTTCACCTGATTCAGAGTTTAATAAGATTGCATCCTTATTGACTTAGAAATAAATTCCCAGAGTATCTCACAGATCCTTGATCATAAATTCAGGCAGTAGAATCTTTGTATCCCCATAGGCAGATTATACTTCATTTCTGTTTCCTCAGCCACCAAATGGGCATAATAAAAGCGCAGGTATCAGGAATAAATCAAATCATAGGTGGCCATAATTGGCTCTTGATAATTATGCTTTGTCTGTTTCTGTTATGAGCCTGAGTATTCAGTAAACAGATATTTACTTCTTAATTAAGTTGTATTTCTGTCCTCCCTCCTTCCTTTTCATTAATGCAACTAGTTAAGAGAAAACCAGATACTTACAAGTTAAGGGATAATAGGGAGATGTATGGGAAGATGTACAGAGGTAGTGACATTTCAAAATATCAGAAAATCATACCAAATTATTTCTGCTTGGTTTTGGAATAACTTTTGCAATTTTATCAGCAGTCTTTTTATTTTCTTTCTTTGGGTAGCTGGGAGGACAATTTAAAATACTATTGGTCCTAACCCTGAATTGCACCCCGCATCTTTAAAATAATAAATTTAAATATAAATAAAATAAAATACTATTGGACTTGAATTTAGATTATGTTGCAGATAATCCCAATACAGAGAAGTTAGAATTTGCTTATATGTGAGAATTAATGTAAAAGAAATGGGCATGATATTAGAGAGCACATTTGAATGTTAATAGCCAAAGTCATGAGAAGTATTTTGTATTTGAACAGATATTTTGTTTGTAAATTCCACTTGTTAGTAAGGACTAGGCTTTACAGGTTTACTTATATAGAGAGATTGTGTTTGGACAGTTAAATGTATTCATTACAATCATATACATTAAATAATTTCTTGTGGAAACACGTGAGAGAAATACTAATTTTACTCTTACAATAATTTTAAATTAAAACTGGAAAATAGTCTCTTACAATTATCTTTATTGCCTTTGTTACTACTATTCATAAATTGTTAAACAAATTTTAATGTTTCAACCAAAAAGGAAAGCACTACAGTTGTCCCTCGATATACTTGGGGGATTAGTTATATGACCACCCCTGCATGTACCAGAATTTGAGAATACTCAATTCCTGTAATCAGTCCTGTGAACCTGAGTGCACAAAAAGTTGGCCTGCCCTATACACAGATTTTGTGTCTCCTTAATATTGTACTTTGAGTCTATGTTTGGAAAAAAATCTGTGTATAAGCAAACCCTTATGATTCAAACCTGTGTTGTTCAAGGGTTAACTGTATATTTTTATTTAGCCAAATTGTGTACCAGTTACTGTTAACATTATGATATTTCAGTGTTTTAATGCTTGGATCTGAAAATATATAACTAAGATAAGAAAGTTAGCTGAAGTGAAACATTTCTTCTTACTCCTTTCTACACTTAATGATAGCATAAATTAGAAGTTTTTTTGCTCTAAACAAAATTTTGCTTTTTATGAAATAGAGTAGGAAAAAAATGTTTCAATTATTTGATTCTTAGTACTCTGTTATCCGCTTAATTGGAGTTTATATAGTCACACATTTATACATATTTTTTCCTTAGGCTTTGCTATTATTTCAATATGAAATACTTGGGAGCAAAGTTATATTAATAAATGGCAGCAGTATGTTTTTACCTGTTTGCTTAAACTACATTTCAGTAGAATTTCAGTTGATTCATGGAAAACTGAATTGTTATGGTCAGTTATTTAGTGCTTCTCAGACTGTAGAATATATATAATTACTAGAAAGATTGTTAAAACACAAATTCCTGGGTCTCATTCTCAGATTCTGATTTAGTATGCCTGGAATGGTGCCAAGAATTTGAACTTATAACAGTCAGGTAGTGCTGCCAATCCAAATACTTTGAGTCATACTGAACTGGGTAATGTTTAACTTATGAGAATGTTCAGGTGTTAGAAAATAGCAGTTAATTCTTTGAGCTTGGGGTTTTTATTAAACATTTTATGGTTCAATGTGACATAATTAGCTAAAAATACAAATTATGCTTTGTTAATGTAGGGAAGTTTAAATTTTTAACCTGCAGTTTTGGTAGTTTGAATCTATAAAACAAATTGGTAATCCACAGATTAACAGGAAGAAAGGTATATAAATTTATAACATGTATATGGGCACAGGAGTCTTACGCAGAATGAAACTTAAAGTGTAGGGGGGAGGCTTTGAAGTCAGGTGGTTGAAGTTTTTATACCATACTTACATTTCATAAAGAATAGGGGCTAGGAGCTTGGCATGACAGGTTATTGGGTAGAGGAAAGAAGAGAGGCATGGTTAGTAAAGGCAGTCTTGTTAATACTGGTGAAACTTCATAGATAGCTGCTTTCAGAAAGAATAGATGGTAGGCAGTGCTGAAAAGTTTCTCTGTCAGACCGTCAAAGGTTTCAGACTCAAGTCTCTCTCTCCTGCCAGTTAATTTTCCCTTAATCCATGGTAGGGGTGAGGGAGAGGGACAGCAGAGAAAGCCTGTTTGCATCTACTGTTTATTTCGTCTCCAGATGCAGATCTCCACAAAAGATACTGTTCAGGACTATTCTTGTGTTTGTAGCTCCTCCGAATAGCTATATCAGAATATGCCAAATAAAAATATATTTTGGTAAGACACTCTAGTCTCCCTTATTATGTTATTTTATATTCAGAGGCTAATATATTAGGCAGGAGTTAGCCAATTAAAAGTAATTTTATACATTGTTATACTATCATTATTGATATTGTTGCTGTTTTATTACTGTAGTGGTAATATAATTATATTTTTTAATGTGGTACATATACACATGATGTAATATTACACAACCATAAAGAAGGACAAACTTATGAACTAACAGCAACTTGGATGGACTTAGAGTCTATAATACTGAGTGATCTACCACAGAAACAACAGAGTATCACATGTTCTCACTCATAAGTGAACCTTAAACAATTATCGTAATACTATAAGAAAAGGGTTGAGCCAGGCTCAGTGGCTCAACCTGTAATCCCACGCCTTGGGAGGCTGAGGTGAGTGAATTGCCTGAGCTCGCGGGCTCGAGACCCGCCTGGGCAACTTGGTGAGACCTCATCTCTACAATAAATCAAAAAATTAGCCGGGTGTGGTAGCACCCACCTGTAGTTCCAGCTACTTGGAAGACTGAGGCGGAAGGATCACCGGAGCCCAGCAGGTCGAGGCTGTGGTGGCCGGGAGTGGCCACTGCACTCCAGTCTGGGCGACAGAGTGAGACTCCAACTCAAAAAAAAAGAAAAGAAAAGGATTGGCAGTAGTGGGAAATTGCCAGGGGAGGTGGGGTTATGGGACTGGCAGTAGTGGAAAACTGCCAGGGGAGGGGAGGGTACACCTCATCAACAAGGGTGCCTGCATAATGAACATTTGTATAACCCTGAATTGTACCCCACATCTTTAAAATTAAAAATTAAAAAAAAAATTACGGGGCTCGGTGGCTCAGCCTGTAATCCCAGCACTTTGGGAGGCTGATGTGAGTGGATTGCCTGAGCCCGTGGGTTCGAGACCAGCTCAGGCAACTTGGTGAGACCTTGTCTCTATAATAAATAAATAAATAAATAAATAGCCGGGTGTGGTAACATGCGCCTGAAGTTCCGGCTACTTGGAAGGTTAAGGCGGAAGGATTGCCTGAGCCCAGCAGGTCAAGGCTGTGGTGGCCATAAGTGTGCCACTGCACTCTAGCCTGGGTGACAGAGTGAGACTCTGACTCAAAAAAATATAATAAAATAATATAATATAATAATATAATCACATTGTTTTAAGAGACAAGGTCTCACTGTTGCCCAGGCAGGAATGCAGTGGCTGTTTATAGGTATAGTCAAAATGGATTTACACAGTCCCATGCCGCTGTGCCCAGTTTATATAATTACAGCCTACTTGCACAATTGTATTTAGATAAAATTTTCTGAAATGTAATACAAATTTTGCTTGAAAAATAAATTTCTAATTATGATAGACCAGTGCTTTTTTTATTCTCTTATTTTATCTTACAGGCGGTACTTAATTTTCCTAAATATTGTGAACCTGTAGTTAAAGGAGAAGGTAACTATGTAATTTTACTTATTAATTTTTTTTAGAACAATTTTTGTAAGATATAAATTACTGAAATTTTCTTTCTTGTGGGGTAGCAAGTGAACGTGATACTCGCAAACTGTGGAGAAATATTGAACCTCACTTGAAGAAAGCCATGCAGACTGTTTATCTCAGGGAAATATCAAGGTAATTTTCTTCCTGTTTAGTCTTTGTACTATTTGTTATGTCTTTATCTGGGACATGTACTCTCTCAACCAAAGTAGAGAGGCTCTCTAAAAGCAAATATTTGGGAATGGGTATTGCTATTGTCTTGTGTTGTTGGTCTGATCAGTTGTTGGAAGGAGTGAATGGTGGCTAGGAGTCAGTTTCAAAACCCTTTTAGTGACATTTGAACAAGGGAGGCTTGAAAGGAGTGACTCTTGGACTAGTCTATCTGTAATCCATAGTTAAGTTTAATTTTGTTTGTTCTGTAGGTATTGGCAATTATTGCAAAAGTGTTGGGGCAGCATTATTCTGACAGGAGTTGCACCTCTCCAAAAATTTTACAGGCAACAGGTACAATGCTTAAAAAGGAACATACAAAGTAAAATTTACAGTAATACGACAATCCCAGTTACATGTTTTTGAACCATGAACTTAGGCTTAAAGATAACTTACTGAATAAAGCAAATGAACATAGATAATTGAGACTTGTAACCATATGTCCTATCTTTTTATTTGGTATATATGTGTCTCGACTTTGCCAGAGGAATTTATCAAGGTACAGCATGTAATATTAGCAATAGCACAGACATTTCCTTATTTAACCAATAGATAATATGGAGCAGTTTTGCCATCTAGTATTCCATGACTGGATTGAATTGAAGCAGAGAATGAGCAACAGTTGTATCAGGGATGATTGCAAAGTTACCCACTAGGTGGACTAAAGAATCTTTTAAAGTTAGATTCTGTTAAGGTACCAGTAGGAGCTACTGATTGTGAAATTTCAATTTATAACACTATCCTGTCAAGTGAAAATGGTAGGCATTAAGAAGGTTAAGAGTATCATTATGATAAAGAGTCTTGTTCTAACATCTTGGAAAAAGTTGTCTACAGTATGAAATTGGCATGCTGTCATCCTTATTTGCAGTTTGACTGTCTCTGGTTATAGCACTGAGTAGTTTGGCAAACTTTCTGGGTGGTCCATACAGCAGGCACAATTTGTTTCTAAAATTCATGTAGTTTCAGCTTATAAGTCTTTGGGAATAGAGTTATTCCCATTTTTAGTAATTTTATGGAAGAAAGTTGAATTAGAGGAACCTTAGAAGAACTTAGGATCTAATCTAGTCTACAGGTAGATTATAAAACTTCAAATGCAGGGCATAGGGCTACAAACTAATAACTAGTGTATTGTCATTTTTCTGTAGAAACATAACTTTTTCTATGTTGATCACGTAGGAATTTCAGATTTTAAAACCTCTTGAATCTAGGAAGTCAAACCAAAGCAGACTTCAGATTTTGTGTGCAGTGTTGAGGTTCCTAGGCTTACTATAAAGTGATAGTTTTTACTCATTTGCTGTAAGGTTGGGAATCTTTGAAACCAGGCAATTTGATGCACATTTTCAAATATATTTTAGTCAAAGCTTTGGTTATATAGTCAGTTTCCAATTCTGTCCTGTTATACAAAGAGAGAAAATTCTTATTGCTATTATGTAAATAAGCATAATGTAAAAAAAAAAAAAGAATGCTCATGAATAGTTTCTGAATTTTGGAAGAATCAAGTAGGGAGAAAGAAAAGCAAATGTTACCCTCTTGGTTCACAAAAGTATTTTTACCAAATTGCTGTAAACTATAGATAGTTTAAGAGAGAAAATTTTCTTAAATCTGGAGAGCAAAACATTTAAACAAAGAACTATTAATTTTCAAATAAAAGTCAAAGAAACATTATCAGTCATTCAGTCTCATGTAATTATTTTTTTGTTTGATCTAGAGTAGCAGTGAACCCATCAGTTTCTTCATTAGAAGTCTGATAAATTGTTATTTAATTCACAGATCTTAAAGTTATTAGAAGCCTATATTTAAGAGCACTTATTAAAATTTTTTTCATGAATCTGATTGCAAATGCATTTAGAGAAAAAAAAAATAGCTGTGAATGACAGACTCAGAATAACCCTGATTAAAAATCTGATGACAGTTTAACCGAAAATTGACTAGGTAATTTGGTTATTTTTGTGGCACAGAACATAACAACCAAAATTACGACTTGATGATATACTAGATTTCTAAAGGTTTTATACAGTTTTGGGACATTCATATAAATCACATACCCATGAATGTAACTGAAAGAAGATCTAGCATTATTATTTGGTGATACCATTTACTAATGAGGAACTTTAAGGATCTAACTATAAAATCCCAAGTTAATTCTAAGTCAAAAAGATTTAATTTAGAATTTTGATATTGTGGAAACCTGTCAAAGATGTCAACAGATTTAAATCATCTGATCATAACAGTAGCACAGGTCACTATGAAATAATAGCCACTTAATTTAGCTAGAGTGATAGTCAAAAGACTTCAAAAGCAATATAGAAAGTTAAATGGATTTTTGAAAAACTTAATCCTTTCAAAGCTGAGTTATCCCAGTAATCAAAAAAAAAAAAAAAAAAGCAAAATCTTTTTTTCTTCAGCCAGTTCCAGTTACCAAAAAGGTAAAGAAGAATCTCTTGCAGTATGATTGCTTCTGCTTATAGGAGCCTCATTTAGATAACTTGGAAGTTGAACTCGATTAAAAACAGTACTTGAGTTTAATCAAACACAGAAAGAATGTGTGTTTTAGGTTATGATTATGGACCATGGAAACATAAGCAAAAAAACTAGTACTTTGAGTAGGGGAATACATGGCTCTTAGTAAAGACATGGGAAGTCTCCTGGTTATGTGGACCAATTCAGACACATCATGAAAAGCCAAGAGTATAGAATCAGATTATACTGAGGAAAACACTGTTTTTTTTAAGCATCTTGACAACAAACCCTTCAGAGTGAGACTGTAAGAGCAGAGTTATAACCAAAGGAAAAGTGAAGGAGTTATCACCCTAGCCAGGCACAAACATGTTCCTACTCAAGGGGAGAATGTTCTTAAGGCAATGATGTATGACCTGCAAGTCACATGCAGCAAGATACAGTAAAAATTGAACTTCTGAGGTATGAGTCTGAGAAGCTTTAAGAGGAAAACTCTACCATAAGAAATGAATTTTCCACACTAAATGAAGAAGACAGCATTTCTAATTTGAAACTAGAGAATTAAATTAAAATTGTAAAACAGAAAAAAAAGCTACAGTTGAGAAGATGGATGTTAAACAGATTTCATAATTAAAAATCAAAACCTTTCTCAATTTTTGCCAAGAGCCAACCAATATTTAAAAAAAATAAAACTTGTTTTAACATAATGAGCCAAAGTCTTAGTTTTATATTGGAAGATATCAAACAAGGCTAGACATTAGTTCAAGCTATTTCTGTTAATCATTTTGATAGCCTTCAAATATGCGGTGTTTACCTAAGTAAATTAAAGATAAATAAGTGGGTATTTTTATGATTACTTTGGAGATACAACTGTTTTTATTAATGTAAATTAGTCTTATTTATCAAAGAGTTACACAAAGATTATTCTCTTTGTAGGTGGAGCTTATAGTTTTATATCTTTGTGTCAAACCTTGACACCTTAAAACATGTCATAGAGACAAACATAAAACTGTTGGAGCAGCAAACCCAGGCAAAAATATATGGTGACAATTCTGAAGACATTTCTGTTTTTATTTTGTCAGCAAATTTATAACATCAGCTTATTAAATGTTTACTTAAGTACATGAACTAAAAATCATTTGGGTTAATTTCTGTACAGTTTAACAATTTTTATGAGTGTGCACTTATTTAAGCCAATCTGAATAGAATGCCTTAAGGGATTTCTAGATGACTATGCCAGATTTTACCACTTAGATACAGCTTATAATATAATACTTATAGGCACATGTACACACACAAAGATCTTATACCTTTTTTTTTTAGAATTTAAGTCATGTGGCAGTAATATAATTTCACTTGTTTATGAAGAAACTGGAATTCCAATTATATTTCTGACAAAATTCAGACCTGTTCATATGACTAAACTAAGAAAAGAACTTCAAGTGTTCTTGAATTAGTAACAAATATATTTTTTATTTGTTTATCTGGTTTGTTTGACTAGTCAATGTGGGTGGGGAAGCATTTTAGCAGGATGTTTTTTGTATTTGTTTCAACTTTTTCTAGCCCTTGCATGACAGATAAAGCAATTTTTATGAGACAGAGGTTATTAAGTTAGGTATATCAAGATTTTGACCTATTTGATCTCAGAGCCCAAGTCTTATAAACATTTATCTATTCTTTTATTGTATCAGTTGTTCAATTAACTGCTCAGTTAACTGTTCTATTATTCTAAGCAATTGTTGGTAAGGCTCCAAAAATTGTCTAGGTTGTTAGTTGCCATGGAGCTGTTGTAGTTCATTATTTTTTATAGAAGGGCACTTAATTCTAAAAATTAAGAAATCTGCTAAGCTACTGCAAAACTTCATCCTTGCATTTATAGAATCAAATGTTATTGATTCAGGCAAACATTAGTTATTTCACAATGAAGAGAAGACAAAATATTACTAGAAAAGCCATGTAAAGTTATTTTAACTAGAAACAGAAAACATGAGTAGAAACAGTTTAGCTAATGAAAAATTTCCCCTTACCATCCAAAATTAAACATGGAAGACTGCAATATAACACCTAGACCTGGTTTAAAATTTTTTAAGAAGTATTTTCAGATGTGAAAATAATACTTCAAATTATTAGTGCAATAACCTAGAATAAGTGGACAAAGAATAGGAGGATGGAGGCTGGGCTCGGGGGCTCAGCCTGTAATCCAAGCACTTTGGGAGGCCGAGGTAAGTGGATTGCCCAAGTCTGCGGGTTCAAAATTAGCTTGGGCAACTTGACGAGACTTCATCTCTATAGTAAATAAAAAATTAGCTGGGTGTGGTGGTGCACGCCTATAGTTCTAGCTACTTGGAAGGCTGAGGTGGAAGGCGAGGTGGAAGGCTCTCTGGAGCCCAGCTGGTCGATGCTGGGGTGACTGTGAGTGTGCCACTGCACTATAGCCTGGGTGATGGAGTGAGACTCCAACTTTTAAAAAAAAGAATAGGAGGATAGAAACAGAAGTTGATCAAACTCAGGAATGAAGTTAAAGCAGAGATAGTGAAACACAATGAAACACAATGAAAAAAAAAAAGGTATCCAAGGGAGAGTAGATTCAATAGAGACTATAATAATAATAAGGGACATTGAGGAGAAGAATGAAAACAGCCAAGAGACCCAAACTAAATAAAGAGGTAAAAGTAGTCAGGTAAGGTGATAAATATGATAGACAAAGAATATTCATCATCTGTGTAATTGGACTTCCTGAAGACAGAAAACAGTGGATTGAAATTAAGATCTAAAATTACAATCCAAGAAAACTTTCCAGAAATAAGCTTTCACACATCAAAACGGTTCATCTTCCCGGTTAATTCAGAATGGCCAAGTCTGAGACTACTAGTACATTGCGCTGTGACAGATTACTACAAATGTAGTGGTTTAAAACAACACATAGTTATTGTCTTACAGTTTTGGATTAATGTCGGAAGTCTAAAATGGATCCTCAGAGCTGTGTTCCTTCTCAAGGCTCTTGAGGAGAATCTGTCTTTTTCAGCTTCTAAAGACTGCCTGCATTCCTTGGCTTGTGGCTCTTTCCTCCATCTTTAAAGCTAGCAGGGTAGCATTTTCTCTTCTCTCTGACATCTTGTCTTCTTAGAAGTGTTCTTGTAATTATATTGGGCCTACCTGGATAATTTAGCATAATCTTTCTCATGACCCTTAACTCACATCTGCTAAGGCCCTGTTATTACTTAAAGTAACAGATTCACAGATCTAGGAATTTGGATTTTCACATCTTTGGGATGGGAGGTGGAGGATATTATTTATTTTACCACAGAGACTTCCTTGAAAACTTTTAAAGTTTAAAAATAATAGAAAAAAAATCTCTGGGCTTCAGGCAAAAAGATAAGTTACTTACAAAAGACAGTGAATCAGTAATAAAGGAAGATATCATATGGGTCAACGTTTTCCAGAAACTTAAGGAGAAAGGAAGTGTAAGCTGAAGAATTTTATATCCAGTCAATCTGTCATTTCCAAGTGTCAAACCTAGAGAAAAATAGTATTAAACATGGAAGAACTCAGGGAACTCAACTCAGGCATTTCTGAGGACAACCTTTGTTGTAACAAAGAGATGACTCGGGAAACCTAAGCAAAAGTATTTGTTAGTGAACATTGAATTTAATTAATTAGCTCAAAACTAAAAGGAATAAAAGTGAAAACAAGGGGTAGAAGAGTAGTATAAAATATCATATGTTCTGAAAAAGTAGGATTATTACAACTTAAAAAAATGGAAAGGGACGAGAATGAGAAGGGGAACATAGAGTAAACTTGGTGATTGCTCTACAGGGAAGAAATGAGAATCAAAGAATGCTTCAAAAACAAAACTATTTTTTTTTAAAGTATACTCAAAGAAGTCTCACACCTAACCTTATCTTTGTTTCTAACCACATGGATAGTTTCTGGTTTATCCTCCATACTTTTTTCAAAAATATATACACATACTTGCACACACATGAAGGCATCTTCTTCCCTTTCCAATTAATGTTATTTGTGATATGTTTCTTTAACAAAAGATGTATAGCACAGAAATAAGCATTGCTAATCTAACCTCCTGCCTTCCTGAGGCATTATGAAAACTGTCTTTAATGAGTACATTATGCTCATTTTTTTATTTATAAGGAGGATATATGTTTTATTCTATCATGTTATTTTGCTTAATTTCTCTATGTGGTTGTTTCCTTTGTCTTTGGGAAAAATTTTGATTTTAGGACAATTTGCATTTTGTTCAATTGATTACCTGATCATATATAATGTCGTTAGTCCCTTTCTCACTTACAACATGGCATGAAGGACCAGTGAAACTCTGTGAAAGTGTAGTAGAGAAATGGTATTCCCAGACTGATGATACCTGCTCTCCTTTGAAAGTGTTTGAATTGCTTTAAGATAAATGACTCATCCATTTTTCTATAACACTGCCAGCCCTCATTCACCATGTATCATACAATTTACTAAATTAAAAAATATGTCTTCTGATTAGTGGTGACTAAAAAATAAATAACCATCATGTATTTCATACTTTTAAAATGAGATTGAATAGTTGGAATAAGCAGAGTAAGGAAAAAGGAGAATAATAAGTTGTTAAGAATATGTGTTGATTTTATAACTTTTATAAAAAGTTTGGACAAATTATGAAAAAGATATCAACCATGTTCCCTGGTTCATCTTAAAATTCTAACCTATTCAACCTCTCAATACAACTACTGTGACTTTGAATCACCTCTGGAAAATTGATAAATGGACAGAGATAGAAATACAGAAAATACATGGTTTTTGATTTGTTTTGTTTTTGTTTGTTTGTTTTGTAGGACAAATCTCACTCTGTCACTCAGGCTGTAGTGCAGTGGCGTAATCATGGAGTACTACAGCCTGGAACTCCTAGGCTCAAGCCATCTTCTCACCTTAGCCTCCCTAGTTGCTATGACTATAGGCGTGTGTCTCCACACCTGGCTGATTTATTTATTTTTATTTATTTATTTTTGTAGGTTCAAAGCCTTTATTATTGCTATTATATACAAGCCTAGAATGTTCTCTTCCAAATGAAAAATACATCCTTTGTTATACTTAGGGCAAGTTTTAGAACCTCATTTTTTGGCTAGTGGAACTGTTGCAGTAAGTCATTCGTTTCTGGTGAACCCCACACATGATAAGCAGTCTAGTCTCTAAATTTTGTTAGTTGGTTATGACCATCGCACTAATAGACAATCTCCATCTTCCACAGAATAAAACTGTAATGACTGGAGGTCATTTCCCAGCTCAATCTCTCTGCCTGGCATTTTAGGACTTTCGTAGGACAACAGAAGGTCTGACACAGGCACTTTGAGAAGGCGTGACAGCAAGCCCTTCACCTTTTGAATTGTCATGGAGTCCAGCAGTTGTTTCTCTAGGAATTTCCGATTGGGTTGATTAGGATATTTTATCTTCAATGTCAGTAACTGGTTTTTGAGCACAAATGGTTGTTGTGTTTTGAGTTCCCCATCTTCAGGCGCGCCATATTTGAGGCACAGGAGCTGGTATCGCGGGTGGGCCGCCAGGAACTCCCCGCTGGACTGGTTTCTGTCCGGGTCCTGATGCCCACCGGCCTTTTTCCACTCGTTTCCGAACGCCTTGCGGTAATCCAGCTCGGCCCCACGCCTCTCCTCTGGCAGAATCTCACGTTTGTTCAGGGTCTTCAGCTGACCAATCTTGGCAGTTATGAGCTGCCGTGTGGTCTGTGCGTCTTTGGTTCCCTCCGTCAGGGGGTTTCTCAGGCAGGACAAGGCATGCAGACCTGGCAGCTTGTCTAGCTCGTTGACAAAGGCCCATTGTGAAATCTGATTGTCATTTACGACAAGGTACTGCAAGGACGGGAACATGGACGTTTTGCGTCCAACGCCAGCATCTGGAAAGTGTATCGAAGCAAGTCCAATGTTAGAGAGGATTAATTGCTCTAACCTGGGTAGATATGCTAGCAAAAACAGCTGATTTTCATCAATTAACTGATTAGAGGAAAGGTCTAATAACTTGACTGTCTGTAGAACATCAGTTGGCCTTTCTGAAATGAAAATGCCGTTGGCCTTCAGGTACAGTTCCTTAAGGGCTGGGCACCCCGCAGCACACCGGAGCACCTCAGCCTACGTTACTCCTGTTTGGATGAGGACTAAAACCTTCAGTGTAGAAAACGTGCCGATTGGAGATGCTAAACCCGAAGTAAAGCTTAGCTTATTCTCACTGAGATTAAGAACTTCCAGGTGTCTGAGCCGATCAGCAATTCGAGTCACTTTATCCCAGGATGACAACAGGTTTCTTGACAAATCTATCTCTCTAATATTTGGACATGCTTTGGTAATTTCTCCTTTTTCACCAGCGCAACTGACTGCACAGTTCCTCAGAGAAATTTCTTGCAACTTGCTCAGCTGACTTTGCTGTTTTACAATAGAGTCAAAACCAACCGTTTCCACAGGTTTATTTCCAATGGTAACAACTTGCTCTTTTCCATCGTCCTCTGGTCCATCCTCTAACATATAGCGGTTCTTAACTGCAGTAAGAAAGTCTGTTTCAAAATTCACCTCGTTAGGGCGGATAAAAGACCCTCCTGTTGGGTGCCTGCATTTAAAATACACAGTCCCTTCGTGGCTCCCATCATGCTTTCCTCTCTCGGCATTGTCCCATTCTACTCCTAACCAGGGTCCTGCCACAGAAGGGACAACGCACTGTTGCATGTTCTCCATTAACTTCAACTTTTCGACCAATGACATTTAATGTCAAAGTGTCACTCATTATAACATAACCAGAATCCAGAATATGATATCTGCCCGCAGACAGCCCCGGAGCTCTGAGCCGCGGACACCCCCCAACCCGCTGACCTATTTTTATTTTTTGTAGAGACGGGATCTTGCTCTGTTGCCCAGACTGAGCATTTCCTTTTTAAATTAGAGATCTCAGTTGAAATACTGCCTTTACCACTTATAAGCTTTGCAACCTTAGTCAAGTTAGTTAGCCCCTCTGGCCCTCAGTTTTAGCCATTTAGGGAAAAAAAAACAAACAAAAAGGAAATGACACTTCCTTTCTCACAAGTGTTTGAAAGTTAAATGAGGTATTTAGCTGGGTTCATAATACATGTTTAGTAAATGTTAATTGCTCCCCTCCCTGTTAAATATGGTCAGTTTCACCCTGGTTGCCCCTTGAGAATTTCAATATCAACAACACTGAATGGGTAATTGCTATATAAGAAAATCACCAATTTAAACTGTCTAAAAGTTGAGGTTACTACATTGTAACTGATACTTTATTTTTATTTGCATGTATAAGAAGTAATGAACATAAAAATGCATAGGTTACTAACATCCTGTTAAATTTTCTCATATTGCTATATCCCCAGCCAAGCTCACAGATTTTAACAACACATACAGTGTGGTTTTGGGTATTTTATTGTTATAATATGGCATTATTTTTAAATTAGCTCTTTATTTTTAAGAGCCCTGTAAGAAAGTTTTAGAGTTGAAGAGTGTCCTTGTAAATTATTGCATCTGGTTGCCTTATTTTTTGATGAAGGTTATTGATTTATTTAGTCATGCAGCTGAGATCTTCGTCTTAGGGGACATCTTTGATTATACCATAATGTGTTTCCTTATGAATTTGATTTGTCATATCATAATCACGTCTTCATCTTAATAGTATTTTGTCTGTTTCATAGTGTTAATTGCAAATAAGGCCAGGGTGCGGCAATTAAAATACCATGAACTCAGAAATCCAGCAAGCCTTTAGCTCTACTATTGACTTGCTGAGTGGGTGTCCTTGAACTTCACTTTTCTGGAGTAATGCCTGCTTTAAGAGATTGCTATAGAGTTTAGAAACAGTGTAAAACAGTTGTATCTAATGTTTTAAGTAGCACATTGGGAATTTTACTGAATGGTAAGTGGTATTATTTATTGGTTGATGCTTTTTGATAGCTTTATAACTGTGATCCTAGTAATGGAGATTATTAAATAATTAACATCATCCATTTTTTATTGCTTTATAGGTTTATATTGCTCTAATATACACTGAATTATTTTGTACAGGCACAAACATGTATATTGCATGTATGTTTCTTGTTTTTATTTTGCCAATAAACACAAATTTTAATTTTTCCAGGACTCTGTTTTAAGTACAGCATATTGATTTCATATATTTTCAGCCCATTTTTGCTCTCCTATTTTCTTTCAGTTCACAGTGGGAAAAGCTACAGAAAGATGACATAGATCCAGGGCAACTGAAAGGTAACAAAGGAAGTATTAAGACAGTTCTGAGACACTTGTTTAACTAATGATACTAAAATTAATACTCAGTAAATAATGATATGATAGAGAATTTGCTTTTCAAACTATAATGATATTTTAATTAATGATTTTTCTGTAACTAAATCTGTAACTTAATGGGAGGAAGTAAAACCAATTTTTTGTTTTCTAAATCTTGTATTATATCATGTGAAAATCAAGAAATTTATTTATTTTTTAAAAGTTTTTGTTAAAACAGACCAATCATATGTCAATTCAGTATGTATATATTTTATGAGTTCTATGGGCTAAAATCTAATTTTATGTTGATTCGGTTTATGAGATGCATATGCACTTAGATGATTATGTTTTGAAATCTTTGTGCTTTTGTTTTACTTAAGAAAACTATTACTTTGGATTTATCCCAAATAGAACTGATTTTGCTTTTAAAAATAAGCAGATATCGAAAATAACCTTATTTTGAAAAAGATCATTGACTGATGGTTGGAGAAAATGGTATGAAATGATGATGCTAAGATTCTGTTTGGCCTTTTTTGGCTTCTAAATGCTCCAGATGCTTTACAAGTGATTTCCAGATGTGTGTTGTTAGGGAAAGAGATAGATATTAGAGTTAGAAATCTGTAATAACTGGTCTGCACTACTTTTATCTGTGTGACCTTGTAAAATGAGAAGAATATCTAACTTTAAGTTGCTGCAAAGATTCAAAGTGATGCTTAAGCCAAGCGCCTACAGTGTCTGACACATAGTAGAGTTTCAGCAAATATCAGATTCTATTTTTTCCCTTAAGAATATTGCTGCTTGACTAATGCCATTTTAAAAATTATCCATTCATCAGTCATTTCCTATATGCAAAGCAGTGTAGGGATACAAAAAAATTAGACATGACTCCTTCAACAAACACTAACTTACTAGGGGATGTGATTTATATACAGGTTGGGCAGCCCTAGTCCAAAAATCTAAAATGCTCCAAAATCTAAAACTTTTTGAGTGCTGACATGAGCTCAAAGGAAATGCTCGTTGGAGTATTTTGAATTTCAGATGTTCGGATTAGGGATGCACGATCCGTATGTGCATATATTGCAAAACCTGAAAAAATGCAAAAACACTTCTGATTCTAAGTATTTCAGATAAGAGAGATAAGAGATAGCAGCCTGTATAATTAGCTGTTAACGTAAGGCATAATGTTATGTGGGATAAAAATGATATACACAGAGTAGGAGTTCATAGTAGAGAGAAGCTTTTCTATTTTGGTATGATAGAACAGAGCATGGCCTTCAAGGGAAGAAAGGATGGGGCTTAGACTTTAGAATAGGAGGAGCCAAGCAAAAATAATAGATTGAGCAAGGCATGTCATTAATAGTAATATTCATCATCCTTACCACCACCACCCACCTCCACCATCATAATCATAATCATCATGGCACTTTAAGTCTAGGGATAAGTCATTTTGACTAGAGAACACCATATGAAAATCAAAAAATAAGTGAGAAGAGATACTTAAAACCTAATGGTTGCCTAATAAATACCTTCATAAAAGTATTTTGTTGTGTAGGTCTCTCAGCGCACACTCATGTGGAACTTCCATACTACTCTAAGTTTATTCTAATTGCTGCATACCTTGCTTCATACAATCCAGCAAGAACTGACAAGAGGTTCTTTCTTAAGGTAATAGTAACATACTTCTTTTTACTTTATTTTTGAAGAATCCAGAAATATTTCAAAATTTCTTAACAATCATAAATTTCTAAAGGCAGAAATTAGAATAGGAGGTTGCTAAATATGTCCTTAGGACTCATCCTCTAAAGGCTTTAAATGAAAATCACAGCCTTAAATTTGAGAGAAGGTTGGTAGCTTCATAGAAAAGAATAACTCAAGTATACCTTAGGTAATAATTTTAGATTTTAAAAATACCTAAATAAGGTTTTGTCTAAAGCATAGAAGATGGAGATAATTTTAAGGTTGGTAACTATTTTATTGTAATAAAGTTTTTATTGTAGTGAATTATCCACAACACCTAGGAGCCTCTTCTGCATGTATGTTGTTGTTTTTGAGTTGAGATCTTGCTCTGTTACCCAAGCCGGTGTGCAGTGGCATGATCATGGCTCACCACAGCTTTGAACTCCTGGGCTCAGGTGTTCCTTCTACCTCAGCCTCCTCAGTAGCTGGAACTACAGGCACACACCACCATGCCCAGCAGATTTTTAAAAACTTTTTGTAGAGACAAAGTCTTGCTATGTTGCCCAGGCAAGTCTTGACCTCCTGGACTCAAGCAATCTACCTGCCTTGGACTCTCAAAGTGCTGGGATTATAAGTGCCACCATGCCTGGGCGTTTTTTTTTTTTCTTCCTCACTTGCTATGTTCTAGTGACATTGACCTTTTCCCTTCCTGAAAGCATTCTTTTCTACCTTAACGTTTTTATCTTTGTTCTTTCTGGAAAACTCCTTTTCTACTCCTCAGCTTTCAGGTTTCAGTTTAAATGTTGCCTTCTCAGAGTCATCTTCTCTATACTATCTTAAGTAGGTCCTCTTTATTGTTTGAGTTCTTTTTTGCACTTGTAGCAGTTTGTATTAATTTTTTTTGTCATTCTTTGCTACTTTTTAGTTTCATAATGGCAAGAACCACATCTATTTTTTTCCCACTATTAAATCCTGAGTGCCTAATTACATTGCTCTGAGTCAGGGCTTATTAAGTGAGTTACCTGCCTTCTTTAAGGGATGATTAAAAGCTCACTTATCTTTGGAAGTTTCATTTTTTAATAATAAATATACTGTATGAATAGGTTCGTTTAGGAAGTATCATTATTTTATTTTAAAAACTGTAACATACAAATAATCTTGGATTTAGTCCAAACCTAGGTCAAATCAGCCTAAAATATGCTGAAGTCTAATATCTGCAAGGCAATAAGAAGACTAAAATTTAAGTTATAAAACTTAAGATATATAAATTAGTATTACGTGTGCCATGTTTTCTGGTTTTGTGGAGTACTATCCTTTCATCTTAAAATTTATTTTCCTTATTTGCAGCATCATGGGAAAATTAAGAAAACCAACTTTATGCAGAAGCATGAAAAGGTATTTACATTTTAATTTCTCTAATGGGAGACACTTAGGAATTGAAGATAATATAGGAAATGGATAAATGTGTAATTAGTTGTTTGGATATGAGAACTTATTTCTGTTGATATAGTACTGTTAAAATGCACTGTTATAAATAGCATTTTCTTTTTTTATTATTTTTTTTCCTATAATCAATATTTTTTATTATAATATTGTGAGGTACAGCTAAGGGTTAGGTATACAAATATGCTTTGTTCAGGCACCCTTGTTGATAAGAGGTGTCTCCCCATCCCCAGACAGATATTTACTACCGTTAATCCCATCTCCCTTCCCCTCCCCCCATAGTTTCCCACCGTCAGTCATTTTCTTATAGTATTACATTGGATGTTCAAGGTCCATTATATGAGTGAGAACATGTGCTATTCTGATCTTTGTTTCTGTGTGAGGTCACTCAGTATTATAGACTCTAGTTCCATCCAGGTTGCTGCGAAATTCATGATTTTGTTCTTTTTTATGGCTGCGTAGTATTCCATCGTGTATATGTACCACATTTTTTAATCCAGTCCTCTTTTGATGGGCAGCATGGTTGTTTCCAGGTTCTTGCTATTGTGAAGACGCTGCGATAAACATACATGTGCAGTTATCTTTTTCATAGAGTGATTTGTGTTCTTCAGGGTACATTCCCAGTAGGGGGATTGCAGGATCATATGGAAGGTCAATTTTTAGAGCGTTTAGGAATCGCCAGACTGCTTTCCACAGAGGTTGCACTAGTTTACACTCCCACCAACAGTGTAGAAGTGTTCCCTTTTCACCACACCCTCTCCAGCAGCTGTTATTTTTTGAGTTGTTGATAATTGCCATTCGTACTGGAGTTAGGTGGTATCTCAGTGTGGTTTTGATTTACATCTCCCTGATGATTAGTGAGGTTGAGGATTTCTTCATGTGTTTGTTGGCTTCTCGAATGTCTTCTTTTGTGAAGTGTCTATTCATATCTTTTGCCCATTTTATAATGGGGTTGTTTGTTTTCTTCTTTTCAGTACGTTTCAGTTCCTTGTGGATCCAGGATGTTAAACCTTTGTCAGACCTAGAGTTGGCAAAGACTTTTTCCCAGTCTGTAGGCTGCCTCCCTGCTCTCTTGATGGTTTCTTTGGCTTTGCAGAAGCTTGTCAGTTTAATAAGGTCCCATTTGTCTATCTTCTCTCTTAAGTCCTGTGGGTTTCGGGTTTTGTACAGAAATTGGATGCCAGTTCCGATTTCCATAAGAGTATTTCCTTCCTTTTCTAAGGTTCTTATGGTTTGAGGTTTTACATTTAGGTCTCTGATCCATTTGGAGTTAACCTTTGTGCATGGGGATAGATAGGGGTCCTGTTTCAATCTTCTGCATGTGGTCAGCCAGTTTTTCCCAGCACCATTTACTGAATAGGTTCTCCTCTCCCCATTGGTAGGTGGTGGGGGCTTTGTCGAAGATGAGTTGTTTGAGGAATTGAGGTTTTGCTTCTGGAATCTCAATTCTGTTCCATTGATCTATATGCCTGTTCCTGTACCAATACCAAGCTGTTTTGATGATTGTAGCTTTGTAGGAAAGTTTGAAGTCTGGTATTGTTATACCACCTGCTTTGTTTTTTTTGCTGAGGATTGTTCTAGCTATTCTTGGACGTTTGTGTTTCCATATGAATTCCTGTGTTGTTTTTTCTAGGTCTGAGAAGAATGTTGTTGGTAATTTAATGGGTATTGCATTGAATTTGTAGATTGCCGTAGGTAAGATGGACATTTTCACAATGTTGATTGTTCCGATCCATGAGCATGGGATATTTTTCCACTTGTTCGTGTCAGCTTTGATTTCTTTGAGCAGTGTTTTGTAATTTTCATTGTAAAGGTCTTTCACGTCTCTGGTTAGGAAGATGCCAAGGCATTTCATTTTTTTTGTGGCTCTTGTGAATGGAATTGTGTTTTTTATTTGGGTTTCTGTTTG